AGTATGTAACATAGGTGTTTGCAATGTTTCTGCTCTTTTAAGGAGGGTCACTTTATTGCTAAGGTATTATTTGTTTGATGTTGGTCTTATTAGCCTTAGTAGATGTTAGTAGTGTTTGTTTCTTTCTTTTTTTTATTATTTAAACTTCAGAGTAAAACCAAGGGGGAAGACCTATCTAAATCTTACTGATATACAAGCTCTTCTGCTGTTAATCAAGCAGTAGCTTAGTAAATACTTTCCTTCTGCTAATGTGAGTATTTTGTCTGTACTAACCAAATACCTTAATAGTGATAAAAACCATCTAAATAGAATACTGAGTTAATTATATTTCTGTTTTTGAGCATGGGAAATGTTCTGTTACAATAACCTCTTCATTGGTTTTGGCATTGCTCTCTCCTCTAAAATGAATAGGTACAAGAATATTTGCCTTACAGAGTTATTTTTGTCACATTGTTTAGGCTGTTTGATTTTTGCCTTTCAGTTTTGTTTCATGAAGATCTGTGGTTCTCAGATTTAAACAGCTGTGTAAGAACAACTAGCAACTTACTCTGAAAGAAGCCTGGTCTTTGTCTGAAACTTAGACATCCATATATTGTTAGAGAAGATTCTTTTTTTTACACAGCAGATAATATTTTTGGTAACTGATGTTTAGGAAGATGTATGTGTTGATGAATATAACTTCTTCACTTCTATACCTCCTCTGTTGTGATTTCCATGGTGCCAAAAGTGATGACTCTGCTCCAGTGGCATGTCCAGTTTTTTATTGAGTTGCTTTTGACCCCAACTACCATGTTTAATAGCAATATTGTTTTATACTGGCTTAAACTACTCATGGAACTACAGTCTGGGATGTGAACAATTTGTTAGCTGTTACAGAGTACCTGCTTAAGATTATGCTCTGTATCTCCTGTAAATAGGAGGCCACTGAGTGCTGCTTATTCTTCTTTTATTGAGGTGTTTTTTTTATGATAGGACATGGCATGCAAATAGATTAGCATGAAGGAAGGTTAGCATGTGTTGCTTAGGAGTCTGTTGCCTTGAACTATGTTGAGATAGACATGTTTCAAGGCAAAAAACCCCAAAAACCTTAATTTTCAAACTTGATTTGCCACTTTCTTCTAGCCTAGAAATTATTTAATTGCCTAAATTTGTCAGTTCAGAAGCTTTATATTCAGTCTCATTCATATGAATTAACCTTGAACATCCATACAGACACACAGGACCTTCTTGGCAGATGTCTATATTCAGTTGGGCATTTCATAATGACCAGCCTTGCACATCTCCAGTGTTCAGTGAATCCAAAGAGGATGAAGAATCTTGAATTATGGAATATAAACTTGGTTCAGTAAACTTTTTTAAAGAAAAAGGAGTCTTCATGAAGACTGACTTTAAACTGTGATATTTCAGGCTATATTTCCTGGCTGTGGTGTCACTGTGTGATATTATGTGGTTTCCAAGCCATTGCTAGCCAGTTTGCCTGTAGTTTCCCCTTTATTTTTCTTGCTTTATAAACTTAGAGTCCAGGACATCAGCTTGTCAAAATAGAGACAGTGAGCAGCATGTGTCCCCAAACCTGATTAGAGCATTTAAATTATGGAGGTAATTTTTGATTACACTTTGTCCACATCTCCTCTCCACAATCGGCAGCTGCCGATTATTTTTTTTCCCCATAGAGTTGCAACATATTTCTGCTGGTTTGCTTAGAATGTGAGGTCTTTGGTTTTAAATCTATATTAAGCATTGCTTTTCAGCCATTAGTTTTCATACCACTGTGATTTTATGATATTAAAATCAGTAGTGGTTTTCAAGGAGGAGGAGATTTATTTTTACTTTGTTCAAAGAAGATAAAGTAGAAATAATTTTAATTATTGTCAAATCAGAATTGAAGCATGGTTTCCTAGTGAAAATCTTACACATTTTATTGAACTATTTTGAATGTGTATGGTAGTATCAGATATAAAAGTATTTGTTTGCTGTCACCTAAGTTCATTCTCAAAGTTTGAACATGCTGTTACATCTTTGAATTGTAATTGGACACATTTTAAGACAAATTCATTTAGCGTTATTTCTTATATTGCAGATGGCTGGGATCCGTTTTCTCATCCATATAAGAAGATGGAATATGGGAAGTGGGAGTTGTTCATTCCGCCTGGACAAGACGGTTATCCTCCTGTGCCACATGGATCAAAGCTGAAGGTGTTGGTTCTAAACTTACTCTGTCCAGTTCTTGTAACCCTTCTTACTCAGTTGTCCTTTTTGTTATCTTCTAAATAACTAATGCTTCTCAGAAAAATTAAAAGAAGATAAATAATTTTATCTAGTTAACATTAACATCCCATTCAATAGCGCAGAGTCTAGTTGGAGGCCTGCGTCTAGCGGTGTTCCCTACTGGTCAGTACTGGGTCCAGTCATGTTCAATATACTCATCAGTGATGTGGAGGAAGGGACAGAGTTGTACTCTCAGCAGATTTGCTGATGTTGCAAAACTGAGAGGAGTGCCTAATATGCCAGAAGGTTGTACTGCCATTCAGCTTAATTTGGACAGGCTGGATGAGTTGTGCAGAGAGGAACCTAATGAAGACATGTGTAGGATCCTACACCTAGAGAGGAATAACCCAGTGCACCAGTACAAGTTAGAGGGTAACCTGCTAGAAAGCAGCTCTGGGAAGAAGGACTTGGGAGTCCTGGTACATGACAGGCTAACCGTGAGCCAGCAATGTGCCCTGGTGGCCAAGAAGGTCAGTGATATCCTGCAGCGCATTAAGAACAGTCAGCAGGTCAAGGGGAGGTTATCTTCCCCCTCTGTTCTGCCCTAGTGAGGCCACCTCTGGAATACTGTGTCCCATTCTGCGCTCCTTGGTTCAAGAAAGACATGGAGCTACTGGCGAGAGTTCAGTGGGGGGGCTACAGAGATGATTAAGGGACTGGAGCACTTCTCTTATCAGGAAGGGCTGAGAGACTTGGGCCTTTTTAGCTTGGAGAAGACAGAGGAGTCCATGAGTATAAAATCCTTTCTTTTAGAAACTAATGGAAAGTTTCTTTGAGCTGTCAAATGCCACAGTTGTTATGCTTAGTGCAGATATACATAATGACAACTATCTATCAGTGGAGTTGATTATTTCTAGGTGAATATTGATTTCAGTCAGATGTGCTTCTGAGAATTTGAATTGTTGCAGTCAGAGCTTGAGTTTGAGATATTGGATGCTAACAGGGGACAGTAATGGGTAGTTTAGGAAAGAAGGGTACTGAAATCATCTATAGACTAGGAAAATTAAGAAACTAGGAGCATTTGTATAATACTACTATATTATCAGGACTCTCAGCAGCAAAGCTAACACACTGCAAAAATCCTCATTTTTCTGCTGAAAATCAGCTTAGGTAAACAAGAAATCTGCTGAAACAAAGATATGCATAAATATGCTCTGGAAATGCTTACTCAATGTGTGTGCTTATCTCTGTTTTTTGTTATGGCCTATGAAATTATCCCAGTAATAAATATGGATAAATTGAAATTTAGGGATAAATCACTCAAGGATGAGAAAGCTGTTTTCATTTTGCAGTGTGGGAAAGAAAACAGTTGTCTGCAATTCAGAAATACAGTGATTATGGAGTAATGTATGAGATTGTAGAACGGTTACTTGAAATTTTCCATGGTTTTTAGATGTAAGTAGGTTAGATTTTTTTTGTTGTTGCTAAATCTAGCTAAGTTATATTGTATCTACAAAAATATTGAACTCGCCTACTGTAGAATATTCTATGCTCAGTGTGAATGTTAAGGAGTGTTGATAATTGTTAACATAATAGCAGAAACCATATATTCTTAAACACATTTGGAAAAAAGTTAAGATTATTTTTTTGTCTGTCTACCTATATAATCACTATTCATATCTCCTATATTTGAAGTACAGGCCTTTATAGCAGTTTTTCTCTTTACATTCACCATTTTCTTTGAAATATAAACTCAATAAAGCAAAGATTGTATTGCGCATAACTTGTTTAGTATGCAGAATTTTTTACTACTGATTACTCTTGGTACTGTTTGTTGTACTAGTAAGATGATTTGCTAGAGTTCTCTAGTTGCTTTGAGTCTTCTGAAAAGCCATGGGACTCCTGCTGGCAGAATAGAATGCAAATTTGATTTCCTTTTTTCATTATTATATGCTAAATTGTAGATTTTATTTTTTACCCTGCCACTTCTTTAATCATGCTTTTACATGGTCAGTTTTAAACAAAGGTTTGTGACGTTGTCACTGACACTCAAAATATGTGATTGACAAGCAGGCTCTTGAAGCTGGACTCTTCGGTCTGCCTGTGAGAGAGATTTACTCCTGAGTACGTAAATTCTTGTCTTTACCCAAAAAAAAGTGCAAATATTTAGAAACTTGTTTTGCAAGTGTGCATAATTGAGGACTTCATCCATATGAAACTGCTCCCGGTCTCATCTGTAACCTTGCTGGTAACCTTTCGTGACACTTTGTTTTTGTTCTGTGGTGCCTACACAACTGCATGTATCGCAACACAATCTGTAATTTCAGTGTATTCAGATGATATAATTAACATGGGAAAAAAGTTAACATAGCTCCAATATGATTTATCTGTGACAAAAACTGGAATAAGGTTGGAATGTTCCACATGGGCATGTACATTACCCTCATGCTACAGAGGACTTTTCTATCCTCTCTCACTCCACTAACAGGTTCAGAAAACTGCTGCTCTTCTGTGAGTTTTCTTCTAATTACGTGGTTCTATTAGACTGTGATCATTTGTAAATGTGTGTATTTTTGGGAACGTGAAGATTTGTGTGGTAGAGCATGGTCTTACAATTTTTCATGCAGAAGCTGAGAATATTGGTTTGTCTGTAGATGGAAATTACTATGCATATTGCAGAGCTAATGTTTAAGGACACAGGCATTGTTGTCTGTGTCCACTAGACCAGGCAACAAAAAGTATTCCTGTCCAGTGATGAAGGTATTCTCTTTTGCTTTACTGAAGAAGCATAAGGAAGTCACACGTTTTAAATTTTCTTTACCGATATATTATTAAATATTTAAATTAAAACAGTGAATTTTAATCAAATCACTGCATAAATATCTAATCTGCTAGGGAGAAAAAAAGTCTTCTCTAGAAGGTCCTTATCTTAGCTCTGTCTGCACTGTTTTCATCTCTAGTTCTACACAGGCGAATGCCAGGTTCTGAAGCAGTGACAAGGTCATTCCTTTCAAGTAATTTTTAAGCCAGAATAGGAAATGGATGGAGTGTAGTTGGTGACATTAATTTAGATAGGGTCAGAAAATATTTTCGTAGGAAAATAAATGAGGAACAGAGGTCAAACATTTACCTGTTTTTGATAGTAGTAGACCATCTACTGTAGCTCTTCAGGCAGTCTTTTCATAAGTAAATATAAACATTGAAGAAGGTGAGTAATTAATTAGAAAACCTGCTATAGATCTTCTGATACACTTCTGTATGAAGGGATGGATGCTTGCAACATTTGAGTGAGTCCCTTGTGAATTAAGATACCAATCTACAAAATACGGTTAGCTGCTAAAAAAGGGCATTATTTTCCCCTCCCAGAGAATCGAGTGGGAACTTAAAGTGAATTGATTGAACAAACATTGTTCCTGTGGTAGTTGTGTGGTGTTTGCTTTTTTAAAAACAGATGTCATAAACTGAGCACACATTAAAAAGCCACCAGCACCACCAACAAAAAGAAAACCAAACAAACTGTGCTTTAATAAATTCTTTACCTCTGTTTATTCTAATGGGGGTAGTTTGAAAGATGGTTGGGACAACCAAATTTTCTTTAAATTTTGGCATGCTTGTCATGCTAACAGTGATGACAGTTGTTGGGCAAGTGTGCTTATCTTTCATGACTGAATTGAATTCTTCCTTCATTGTCAGAATACTCTTAATTACCTTTTTTTTTAGTATACAGCAAGCTTTTATTAAAACTAACATGAGTAGGCTTCTTCAGCAGGTCTTGTCATGTGTTGTCATATGCATGCAAGAGTTTAATCAGTGCTCCACTTTGTTGTTCTATTGTTTAAGCAGTAGTAAAACTCATAAATAAAGGTGCCTGTAAATTAAGTTTTCACTGTAGTCCTTAAGATCCTAATTTGGAAATATTTTTAGTGGAGTTTAGGGGGGATCAGGGCAGTACTGGTAAAAGCTGAGGTATTAGTATCTGCAATGGGACCTTGTTCCTTGGCATTTCTATAAAGAATATTAAACAACACAGAAAATGCAGAACAATTGGAAAATAGAAACCAGTAAGAATTTAAACCTAGATGAAAATAATTTCCATATTAATGGCTAATGATCAGCTTCTAAAATATTTTCATCCAGCTTAATAAGAAGAGATGGTAAGATCAGTATTTCTAAAATATTGGCAATTATGATTGAGCTACCTGCTGCCCTGGAACTTGGAACAGGAGGAGATCTGTACAGCAGAACCACTAAGTTTCTTCCGTTGAGCTGGAGACAATTTACTAAAATAGTAGTAACTGTTCAACTAGTAATGACAGATCTGTGATTTCTGAAATGATTTGACAGAACAAGAAGGGGTTATGTGTTAGTAAATTTACCTGACACTTTATCTGACAGTATGCTGGGTAGGTGCATGAAGTTAATTCACTGTATGCAACTAAATATCACTTGTCCATTCATGAAATCTAGGTTCATGTAAGTGATTCTGGCTCATTTCTCTTGAGTTATGAAGGTGAGACTCAGAATGGCTGACATGCCTCCATAATGCAACTTTTACCAAGAGCAGGGTAAAGATTACAAGGTTGTCTGTAAAATATTGATGACTAAATTTGTTGGTTTCTTACTGTGTTTTTGAAGCCATGTAAGTTAATTACAAACAGGTAGCTTTCTCAGATAGCTTTTATGGTTTTGAGTGTAGATAGATAAAAGTAAAAAAAAAAACAACCCACAAAAAAAAAAACACCTCTGTTTTGTAATTATTTTAATTGAGTTTTAACAGATTGTTTCTTGGTACCATAGCAGTCTTCATAATTTCTCTGTATATGCTGACAGAACTAGTCATATACAGCTCTCAGGGAACAAATAATGTAGGTTTTCCCTGGAAAGGTCACCTCAGAAAATGATAGGATTTTTTAAAAAAACTGTATTCCATAATTTGCTAAATCTATATTCCTTTCTGCTTCACATACATATATCTGCGTGTGTGTATA